TCTGGCTATTGCGATTTGCACCGCGGTTTTGATCTTTTCCTTAATTGTTTGGACGATTGTCCTCTTGTCCAACCGAGTGGACTTTTCCAGCTACTCTCTTTGTCCACCACTACCAGATTTGTCTTCATAGTGGCTACGGCCGTGTTATCTTCAACCTAGATGTGTTCATTGATCCTTTGCATGAGAGATTCCGTAGTTGCAGGCTAATTCATCGTGAGCGAGTCCCTCAGTCTATATCCAACTGGAAGATCGCACTTGTTGTAGCGATCCTAGTTTTGACCCGTCTCTTTGTGGTGTTCCGAGCTCGGGTTGGTATGGTTTTGAACGGTATTACGTATCTTAGTTCCTTGTATTTCCCTTATTTTGGTTATCGAGTTGTAGCGGTGTTTGGAACAGGTAATGTTTGTATCGGGTTATAGCGTATTTTTCATGTTTTGCCACTTCGTTGACTATGCCGAGGACCGAGCTGCCCGGTTAGCTCGCGGGGGTCCAGAGGGCAGCGCCCTAGCAGGGTCGAGGGGCAGCGCCCCCGAAGTAAAAATGCAAAATGCATTCGAAGTTGCCTGTCCGCTCGAGCGGCCGTTTATGCGCTCGAGCAGAGAATGTTTGGTTCTAGAAGTTTGACCTGTCTGCAAAAGTACTGGGAATGTGTATTTGACGCTCAAGCAGGGTTTTTCACGCTCGAGTGGACCATGTTATATCAGTTCGTGAATCTGATATTTCAAATCACTTTTCAATCCTCTCTCTAAAACTCTCCAGAATTCCAGATCGGGAGCTTCTCTCTCTAGAAGTCATCTTCTCTCTTTGATTTCTCCAAATCTATTGGGATTTAGACCTAAGTTCTTCATCAAAGTTGGTTATCATCTCGAGGGCTTCGTTGTGTGTGTTGAAGATCGAGTTTAGACATCGTTGATTTTGGGGTTTCATCTAAATTCTTCTTCAATACTTGAGATAGGGATTTTCTTAGAGTTGTATATACATATTTTTGCAAGATCTAGATGATTTTCGAAATCATCCTTCGGTAGCTTTGAAAATTAATTGTTGATTCAAGAAGTTGAGTGATTTTGAAAGTAGTTTGTCTCTTGTTCTTTTAAAATGATCTTATGGGTTTTGATCTTCGTTGATTGAAGAAAAGATGATTTTGAAAAGTTTTCTTTCAAAAGATTTGAGTTGTATAGTTTTTGTGAGCAAACCTAGAAATTGGGAATTTTTAAAAGAGATTGAAAATTCACGAATGATATTTTACATTTATTTTGTGTGTCAAAATAAATGGATGTTTGGAAAAAAAAAATTTATATTAATATAAATGATGAATTTCAGGGAATATGAGAATTGTTGTTCATTTTAAAAATTATTGTTCAAAACGTTGAAATAGTCTTAAAATAACTAATTGTTGAGGATACTTGAGAAAAGGGAATTGTGTTATTCCTTGGATGATGAATTGGAATAAAAGTATTTATATTCATCTTGTGAAATTCGCATATCAATTCATTTGATTACATTAAACTTTGAAAGTTGATTTGAAAACTTACAGTAAGAAAAGAATGTTAAGAAATAAGTTTTCATGGAATGGTTTTGGGGTAAATATGTTGGTAAGTCTTGATAGGTGGTGTAGATGATATTGAATAAGTTGGCCTGAGAGTTTGAGGTGAAAGACCGAAAACCTGCGCGGATAGGTATCGAGCCTTCCGTTAATACCGGTAAAAATGACAATTTGGTAGTACTCGTGTAGTCTACTTGCAGACACCGACCTAGGGATTACCAAAGTTGTATTTACCGCCCCTTGAATTAAATTGTTAAGTTTTGAACAATGGACATTTCATGGCATCATTGAGCATGATGGTTTTCAAAAGATAAAGATATGATTTATTTGCAAAAAGACATAGTATGACATGTGCATTCATCTCTTGAGACTTGTATAAAACGTATATACTTTGTTAAGAATTTCCTACTGTACTTTATGCTCACCCTACGGGATTTTTGTGCAGGAAAAGATGTGGTGAGTCCGCCTAACTAAAGGTGAGGAAATATGTGTTGAGAGTACAAGGCTCTCATTTTGTTGTAACTCTATTTGTAAGCCAAGGGCTACATTTGTGTAGGTTTGAATAACCATTTTGTGTAACCAAACCTAAGCCTTGGAAACTTGTAAACCTTTGGGGGTATCTATTTGTTTATGTTATTTTGATTTGAAGTGAATGTATTATTGTCTGAAGACTATTTGTAGCATGTAATGCAAGTTTGGAGATTTATTTTTAGTTTTACTTTAAAGAACCATGATTATCGTATTATCATTTGGGTATAAAAATTGGGGCGTTACACTTGTAATGAATGATTGCCAAGTTGGTGGCGCATTCATGTATCTCGTTGAATGTCTTCTAATTCCAACAGCCTCTCGAACTATTTTAGGCCCAATTTGCCTAAACTCGATGGGAAAATAAAGCACATCAACGCATCGTTCCGTCTAAGCCATAACTTGCTAGAAGTGGCTCATGTGCATATACAGATCAGTTTTTCTGTCATAGAGTGTAAATTTTAGCTGGTGGAAACCAGCGGGAAGTGGTGTGTTCTCTATCTCAAGGAAAAATTGAGTAGAACTCAGCCTCACCAAATCCCTATCAACTGGCATGTGCGCCGCCTAGCGCAACAACAACATTATGACATTTTCACTAGTATGACCTCTGGGAGACAACTGTCATAGTGACGGTACCATTTGAGCCTTCCGCTGGCGCACTCGCTCCTGCAATAAATCCATCAAATCTCTCGATCAATTGGAATACAAGTATCTCGATGTCATCAATGGACATAAGGGACGATAGTTGTTGTCTCGAATGCGAGACACCTCTACTAGTACATTGGAGTCATCGGCTCTAAAACTCCTCGAGATGGAGAGTGAAGAAGTTAGTTGTCTACTCTGACTGCCAGAACGATAGGACTGGACATGCTCATTGTGGTTTCTCACCCTAGCAATGCCCTTTCCTTTCAGTTGGCGCTTCATGGCCTCTGTCACCATTTTTCTGATGATGACGTCTTGGTCCCTCAGCTTGCTCTCCAAGTGCTGAGTATGCGACTTTCGTCGTCATCGACATCTTTCAAGGCTCTGGAAATGCCTTGAACTCCTTGTGCACTTGTCTCGCACATCTTCGTGTAACCGGCGGGTGGAGGTCTCCAGTCCAGCCATGGTGTGAACACCGGGTAAGTTGTCACTCCTCCGAAAAGACTTTGGCATGATGCCATCGACGGTGAACAGTGAAATGTCATCGTTGTTCGCCATGGAAAGTGGTCAGAAAAGCTTGGAAGACAAGGTTTTCGTATGTCGAAATTCCCACAGACGACGCCAATTGTATGAGAATGAAATATTCATCGCCTTTCGTACTCCTTGTGTCCAAGCTCTGTGTCGCTCTAAACGATGTCATTCAGCCTGTAAGCACAATGACGATGAGCTACCCGGTAGGTGTGTTGCTGAAAAAACCCCTCCAACAGTCAAATTAGCACTCTTAAAGAGAGAAGAAAAACTAAGCAAGGATAACTCTGAGTAAAGAGAAAATTGCAGACCTTTTGCATGGAGGCGCCGGACGACTTATACAGTTTGTGCGCGCACTACCTTGCTCGTCCTTTCTTGGACATGGAGATGTACTATCCTCTCTTCGCCTTACACGTGTGTGCGTTAATATTGCCAAGCAGTATCGACAAAACAGCCAAACGGTATTGATGCGTACTATTAGTGGGTTTTCCTCCTCACACTCTCATTGGGCCACGCAGTATACAGTTGCTGAGCTACCTTCAATCGAGCTAATTTCAACTAGTTAAGCCCCAGGCTGCTTTATGTCCAAGGTAGCTCTGGCTGGTTGGCTCTTGAAGAATTCTACTAGTACGGTCCGCTGCGTTCTGCTCGGTCAAGCGTTGTTTACTCATTGCTCGAACAAACTCCGCGCGACCTTTCGCCTTGACTAAGATTTTCAGCTCGGTCAAGAGTCGCCCTCGTCATCTTAGCTCGGTCACTCTCCACTGTGCATACTTAGCTTGGTCGAGATCTTTCGCTCGGTTTATGTCCGATCTGTGGACTTGTCTCGACCCATAGTCCAAGCTCATTCAGCTTGGCCCAACGCCCATTTCATATTAACTCGGTGGCACGGTCAAAGGCCCACATGGAATTTAGGTCGGCCCATATATTCGGCACAAATTTTCCTCTCAGAAACTGAGAGAAGTCTTAGAGAAAAATATAGAGTGAGTGTTCTAGAGAAATATAAAATGAGTTTTTTCTTGTATAAAAATTAGGTATACAATGACTTAGGTATATATATATGGAAAAATGATCTGGACCCCCTTTTTCCCCCTACCTCCTTGATCCCCTCTCTCTCTGATTGGCCAATTTTTTTTTTCTTTTTTTTTTCCTTCTCCTCCAATCACCAGCCGCCACTTGTGTGTGGGGGTGGTGGAGGTGGTGATTGGAGGGGGTCTCAATCACTTCCCATATATATGTGGGTGTATTGGGTTTAAGGGTGTAAGAGACAAATTGAGTCCATTTGTAAACTTGTTTATTTCATAGTAAAGTATTATTACTTACCGTCTTGTCTTTGTATTGGGTATAAGGCCGAATCATGTAAATTGTTTGTATTTTGATGTATACTTGTTTTTATTTCCCATTTATTATTTTTGGTTACTTTCATAGCCCAAATCACCATTGTTTCATACCCCACATCTTCTTTAGACAAAATTCAATCTCTCTAAACACTAGTTCTCTACATTCCTATGCATTACTCTTTTCTTGGATTCTTCACTTTAGCATTGGATGGCCTTTTCCGACCAAATTAACCCCAGCCATGCAGCACTCACGGTGTCTTTGTCACTCAAGTTGCAATTCCTAGATTGCCCGAATCATTTGCATCATTCAAGGAGCTCCGACTCTTCTAGTGCAGAATTCATTCATGCGCGCGCGCGCGCGCACACACACACATATATATATATATAAGAAGACAAGAAGAGGAAGATATAGATAGTACCTTATTTATGCATTTGTGAAGAATGAAGGGAAGGTCAGATTTGACTTTAATGCCACCAAAAATAGAACCCTTGAGAGTCCTACCACACAAGAGGGGAACTAAGTCGATCTCCCCGCTTTTTTCATTTCCTGAACCAATGGCTACTGCTGTCCCTATTCCCTGTGATTGCATTTGCATGCATGTGATCATTCATTCATTCATAAACCAAAACCAAAACCAAAATCAAAACCAAACAAAGTATTACTACTAATTAATACTGTACGAGCTAGCAAGTAAGTATATATGAAGCCTCATCTCCTCAATTAGGTAGCTAGGGATCATATCAATTTACATTTACAGGTGTGAGAGTGTATGACTGAGAGAGGTTAATAAAAACGGAATGTGAATATTATCATTTTGAACAAACCATTTTGAAGAGTGGAAACAACCAACTTGAGACATTGTAAAACACAAGGGGTGTACCAGAAACAAAGCATTTTGGAGAGCAGAGAAATCTGTAAAATAGAACAGAACATAACAGAATAGTTGAGTAGTAGTAGGGAGGTAGTTTTAGCAGCAATAGGGCTTACCAGTTTAGTGGATAGAAGAGCCTGGTTGACCAAGGATGGGACACCGGTACACTCGAAGCAGTAGTCCACCCCCATACCACCTGTCAACTCTTTTACCATTTCTGAAATACTAGCTTTATTATGATTATTATTATTATTGTTACTATTATGTTTTCCATGATCATCAGGTTCAGATTTAGATTCAGAAGAATCTGAATCTGTAGTGGTGGTGCTGGGGTTTATGAAGTCGGTGATTCCAAACACCAGCCCTTTTTCTCGCTTTCTTTCATTTATGTCTACCCCTATTATTCTCCCTGCCCCTTGCATTCTTGCTCCCTCTACCACCTGCAAAGCAAATTTGTTTTTTCATTTTTCATTTTTATTTTCAGAGTGAATGATTGGGTGGAATATAAATAAATAAATAAACTATTGGATTTTGTCGTTGCTGTATTTCGTCATTAGTTAACAACACATCAAATATGTATGTATATAATACTCCCAAACTGAAGATGTAAAATCATGTTTGATTGTCGGATTAAGTTGACCGGATTGAGTGATGGAGTGTTGTGGTATGAAGTTAGAGATGTAAAGATAAATTGTATTTGTTGTGCTCCATTCCCGTTGAATTGTTAATCCAATAGCTGTGGGGTTGGGGAACTAAGTATTTTAGTCAAAAAAAAATTATTATTACACTTTCTCTATTTTTTTACATTTCTTTTTATAAAAAATAAAAAAATTACTAAAATAGTAAGTTTCCAAACAAGAATGAGTAAAAAGAGTAATACCCCAAGTCCAACAGCACCGAGACCCAAGACAGCAACGGTGGAGCCCTTACAAATGACGACTTGCTTAAAGGTAGCCCCAAAACCAGTAGAATAGCCACAGGACAAGAAGCTGGCATGTGGAAGAGGAATCCTGGGATCAAGTTTCACAACGTAATGAACATCGATGACTATGTATTCGCACCACGTGGAACATGTGAAGTGGTGGTAGATCCTCGTCATCTGCTTCTGGTCTGGGTCTCCTGCTGCTGCTGCCGCCGCTGTGGTGGTGGTGGTGGTGGTGGCGGCGGCCTTGGACAACCTTGATGTTCCATCGGGCATTAGGCCATCGAAGGGTAAAGGGTGGGTGAGGCATAAGTTGGAGTTGGTTACGGAGCTGCTGCAATTCGCGCATTCACCGCACTCCCCTATGTACGTCGGCATCACTGTATCTCCTTCTTTCACCTCCCTCACTCCTTCTCCAACGCTCTCCACTATCCTGTATATCATTACCATCCGCAACAATTACACCTATTTTTTTGGATTCTCCAAATTAATTACTACTACTACTACTGCTTGTGTATTATGGAGTATTCCAAGTTTACAAAATTGGAATCATGATGAGAGACTCGTTAAATATGTGAATTTCATGCTCGACTCTATAATTAAATTTTGTGTACATAAAAAAATTGTATTATTATTCACAACCTCATTTGTTTGATTTGATGCACATATAGAAGAAATTTATGGTATGCACTTTAAAAATAAAAAATAAAAATTGTAAGAAATTAGAATTGGTAAATTTGTGGCTTGTAGTATATGTTATGCCTCTCTGGGGTAAAAATTAGAATTGGTAAATTTGTGGCTTGTAATCTTAAAATGAATTTTACAAATCATTGTAATTACATTGTAATTATGTTTTAAATGGCGTGGTGTAAATTTTATGTACCATTCATGTTGAAAAATGTTATAAAAGGCTACCCGGGCTAGGTAGCTTTTTGAATATGCACGGTAGAGGAGTATCTGTCCGAACGCATATATATCGCGGCCCAAACACTTAAAAAGATTACACAAGTATATAGTATGTAAATATTAAGTTTTTGTTTGAAAAGAATTAATTTAATTTGATTTTTTAGTTTTTTAGTTAAATTAGTTTTGTTTAAGCAAAATTTTTGACTTTTTTTTGTTTGGATGTAATGGTTGTGAGTAGGAGTCATCAATGAGATGGGCCGGACTTACCCGACTTGCAACTATTATATCCATATCTCATATATTAATGGATTTTTCAAATTTTGGCCAATCAACGAGTTGGTACGAATCGAATTTATTTAAAAAAATTAAAACCACGTCTCACCCATAAACCCAAATCGTATGGATCAAAATCAAACTAAACCGGATTACACATTTATTATTAGACTTAGACTATTAAATTCTACATATTTATTTTTTCGTTTTTAATCATTTATATGATCTAATTAATTAATACTATTAAAACAATCAAATTAAAGTATAAATTTATCAAATTAACAAATTATGACAGTATTATATGTAAAAAGTTGAGAGTTAGAAAGATATCACTGGTCACTGTCAAATTCTATTTTAACAAATAGTGTTTCATGTATTTTTTTTAAAGTACAATTTACAAGAATAATATAGGCTGTCAAATGTATTTTTTTTTTATAAATGGAACAGTATAAATTTTAATGGATTAAAATTGAATTTAACAATGTTATTTTTTTAGGTAATATATATATATATATACTTTAAAGGATAGTTTGAGTCAAGTCGGGTTAGTTGGACTTCGGTTTCAAAACCTTGTCCAAAGTCCTAAATCATCCTCTATGGGATGAGATAGGTTGTGCAATCAATCGGGTTGAGAAGAGCCATGGAACGGATTGAACGAGTTAGGTAATATTAGATTTTTTGCCTGCGGGCCATTTGATGACTTCTAATCGTGAGAGAAAAAATGAAATAATTATAATTTGAATGTAAAATTTTATTTTATTAATTTATTTAGTTTATTTTATTTTTTTATGCTTATTTAATTAATTTAACTCCTACGGTCTTAAAAAGACTGGCCCAAAATAATTAAAAAATGTTGGGCCCTCTTATATTGTTCATTTAACAAAATTATAAAAAAGGCTACATAACATTGGACGGTTTGACCAGTAGTGTTGTTTTACTACTTTCGACTGGTAGTTGGGACAAGTGAAAAAAAAAAAGACATTTTGTCTGATAGAGTTGGTATGATATTGCATTTGAGAGAGAGAGATTACCCAACACCTTCATGTCCAGGAATTCGGGGAAACAAAGGCTGAAAAGAAAAAAAAAAAAAGTCATATTATGTATATAAGAATCAGAACACATATGATAGCATGGTAATTAATAGCAATTATGTGACAATAAAAAATAAATAAAAAAAAAGAGAGGAAAAGAGGAGAGGAAAAAGAAGGGCGAATTACACTAACAGTTTTTATAGTTTGAGATTCGTGTCATCTTTTATTTTTCTACATTTAACCTTAAATTTTGAATCTTGTTCCAAATAAGGATAATTGAAGATACCATTACTTAATTTCAAGAGCAAAATCGTTAATTTGATAAAATATGTAATAATTTGACAAAATAAATGTCAAAAAAATATTTTAAAATTTTTAAAAATTATTTCTATCTGCCAAAGATAAAATTATGTAAAATTGATAAATTTTTTAGAATTTTTTTTATCAAATTAATTTTTATTATGTGTTTGGATGATGATCATGTAATAAGTGACTGTTAAGATTTTAAGGTATAATCGATATATTTAACATATGAAATGTTTTTAGTTTTAGATTTTTTGATTTAAGGGATTGGTTTAATAATGATATCAAAGTTATCACTATATTTGACTTTTAAAAAAATAGAAACTAATTTAATAAAAATAAAAACAACCACCCATTACATAATTATCATCCAAATATATAATAAAAATTAATTTGATAAAAATAAATAAATATCTAAAAAATTTATCAATTTTATATAATTTTATATTTTTATCAAATTTGTTTATATTTTATCAAATTGACGATTTTATCTTTAAAATTAAGTAATAATATTTTTAATTATCTTTATTTAAAATAAAATTTAAAATTTAAAATTAAATATATTATAATTAAAAATTTAGAGATCAGAATGACACTAAACTATAGGATTGCAAGTATAATTCGTCCGAAGAAGAAAAGTAGAAAAGTACTGACGAGTGGATGTCCGTCGCAGCAAAGGAGATCCGTGTGGCAAAGGCTGGCGAAGAGCATCTTAACCCTGACTTCAGATGATTTTGGAGGATCTACTTGTATCTCCTCCACCTTCACTCCTTCCCCTTTTCCCCACACCACTGCCCCTGCCCACCAACCATTTCCCAATTCCCAATATCCATACATACAAAACCAATTCCCAACATTAAATTCTTCTTTATAATCATACTAATACCATCAATCAATCTATGATAATCATCATCAACTTATATGCGAATTAAAAGGAGAGCTAAAGAAATAAATTTGGTAATACATCTCTGTATATGCTTATCATCTATATATATATATATGAATAAATAAACATCTTAATTAATTTATATATCTATATATATATATATATATGAATAAATAAACATCATAATTAATTTACATAGATATAACCTTATTATGCTCTACCTTTGCATGTAATGATCTTTGAATTTGAGGTGCTCTTAGTAGCCATAATATATGGTTGATTGGGAAATATGGTTATATGCCCCTCCTCCGCTCCTACCTCCAACCTCAGCTCTGCCAAAAGCTTATTCTTGGGTGGGTGGGATTGTGGCTTTTCTTTCAGTGGCTGCAGTGAGTTGAAAGTGTTGGTGCATATCTCTTATATATCCATTCAACTATATATATATATATATATATTCAAGAATTCGAATGACTCGAATTTATGGAATGGGGGTAGGTGCTGTCACAGCACCATGCTGTGATAGCCAAACGGTGTCGTTTTATTTGTTAAAGAAATAAAAGAAAAAAATGAACTCATGCCTTAAGGGGTAGTTTATGATGATCTAAATAAGTGTATTTTTTGATTTTTTATGAAAAGATATGTAGAAAAATAAAGAGGTAATGTGATGAAAAAAAATAAAAAGATAAAAAACGTATACTTATTAGTACACCCTAAACAAGGCCTTAGTAGTGACCCTTTTGCACCACATAATTTTATTCTCAAATTATATTTTTGTAGTTAAGAATTGAAGCACGGTTTTGGCAACTACCCCTAAATCTATATTGGCCAATTTCAACCCACAATACAAATTTTAAGCACGTATATACATCCACACTTGATATGATTAGCTAATTAGTTGAGGGAAATTTATGAGATGCCCTTCTTTTCTCCATTTTGATGATCTAGTTCTTTCATTTTGTTGTATTTACATGTATAGATTATGAAAGAATAAATAAATAAATTGATCAAATAATTGTAATCATATGATTTCATTAACTTTACTTTTTAAAAAATAAATGGTCTAATTTCAAAATTATATTATTCATTTTTTTTAAAAAATAAATATTATTAAATTATTTGGTTATGATTATACATTCACGGCTTACAAAATAAATAATCTGGATTATCAAAATAAGACCTGTGATAAACTCACATATCAAGAAAATAGTGTCTCCAAATTTAGACTAGAGATATTCTTTTCCTTCAAAATTTATTAGACATGCATATATAATTATAATAATGTTAGAAATCATGAAAGAAATATCATAAAAAGCTTTCATGAAGAATCTCCACCTTTGAATTAGTTTGTAATGTTTTATTATATATTATGCAATCACCTTTGGATTAGTTTCAAAAGTTTTTCATGATATTTATTTCATAATGTGTAACATTACTCGTATAATTAAGGGCAGTCAGACTATAAGTCTAATTTCAAAAAAATAGGGGCAATATCCCAAAGCTCTACTCTTTTGCAGTCAAACTAACAACAACAATTTGAAAGACTATATTACTCTTTATCTATTTGTCTATATCACCTATATATTCATTTATTTGTTTACGTGTCACTTAAATATTCATATATCATCCATCTAAATGCTCACATGTCATCTATGTACCCACAAAATTTATCTATCTCTCTATATCACTATCACCACCAGTTGTCACCAGCAGCCACCACCCTCCTCCGGTGGCTTTTTTGAAGTTTGACTAATATTTTGATGACTGGCCAGCAATGATTTGGCAGTCTAGCAATACTGGGGTAAAAATTAAAAAAAAAAAAATTCTTTCAAAATAATAATTTGTTCTTCTAGCCCAACAAATTCATCTATATTCTTATCACCAAATAAAGCAATCCTTGAATCTAATGTCATATAAAAAATAAAAAAAGATTTTTACCAATTTTCCTATAATTAATTAAGTAGTTATATAAAGTATATAGAAAATTTTATTATTTAAAAATTGATTGCTTTGGGAATTTCCTGCCTCCACATCTTGACCAAATTTATAAGGTACCATAGGAGGGGGGTGCAATTTGAGTAGATTCAATTCGTGCTCAACTCAAATATTTTTGGAGTTTAAGTAACTTATTATTTTTTAATTTAGTGCAAATTTAGGTAAAAATTTAAAATTTTAAAAATTCAAATTAAATTCGAGTTAGCTTGAGCTTAGACTGTGACAATTTGAGCAACCCAAATATTATATATATAAATTACTAACAATTGAATGATAAATTTATTTACATCCATAAGACTATATCCACTATATATTATACATAAATAATATTGTTGGCTATATATTTTGTATAAGCCAATTACAATTCAACGCGTGGCAAAATAAAAGCAATACGGGAAGACTATTCAAGTTTTCGATCGTGATCCTACATGTGGCAGTTAGTATTGGTTCTTACAAGATCTGCGTAGCACTGGATCAGCAAAGAGATGCAAAGTAATGTGGCTTCAACGGTTACTCACATTCAAATTCAAAATCAGGAGGGAAGCCTAACTGCAAGTAATGACATAGTGGAGCTAACTATAAGGCAACATGATCAGCGATCATGGAGGAATGATTCGACGGTTAGAAGTGCAGTTTGATGGTCGAGTTTTGCTTGGGCGATGGGGTTGAGGACGTGACCCCGAGTCATAATATCACAAGCTTATCGAAGGTTCTTGAGAGGGATATCGTCTTCAAGAACATTGAAAGGCAAGTGAGCAAAGGCCGCAAGCAGAAGTTGGGCTTGCATTCACTGAGCTGGAGTACGAGAAGGTAGAGGCTTATAAGGAGGAAAAACCTTGTCCGCAGGGAGGGTAAGCCTCAGTCTCTCTGTCCAGTAGGGATTTTGCGAAGAAGGAGGTATAGTATGACAACCCTCGCCACTGATTACTGCTAAACTGTGACTGAATATGACAAGTAACTGATTGATTGAAATTCTGAACTGATTGATTGGGTCTATTAATTTAAATGCATATCCATCTGTTTGACTGCTAAATGATCTGTTCATGTTTTGTGTTTTAAACTGCCAATTGAAGGCCTTATCGGCGGCTGAATCAGGAATTGATTAGTGTTTTATGCTAATTAGAATTTATGTGATTTTATGGTAGATTTAATTTAAATTTGATTTGGAGTGGTTAAATTAGATTAAAAAGTTGTATTACATCAATTTGAGTTATTTACCAAATTGTCATTAGTGGACAATGCTAGGCCATCTATTAGTCTTGATTTATCTATGCTTGGCATCACACTTCATTCATCTTCCTAGAGACAAAACCGACTAGAGAGAGAGAGAGAGAGAGAGAGAGAGAGATTGGTTTCAACTAGGAATTCTTGCTTGAACTTGGAAGAATTGAAGAGAGGATTGCATAATTGAGCTTCTAGACTTGAAATTGAGGACCCAAGGTAGGATATTTATCCTTTAGTTTATGAATTCAAGTTGGTTCTTGTATGGTTCATGGTAATTTAGAGTTTAAAGTCAAGAATGGGTTTAAAGAGTTGAGTTTAAGAGTGAATTCATGCATGCATGTACGCATTCTTGAGTTTTGAGGTCTTTCCATGAAATTTACTACATACATGTTCATATTTTGATTATAGTTCATGAATTCATCATGTTTTTGGAAGGATTGAGTTATTTGACCATGTATTTGAAGCTTTGAATTTAATTGAATACATGCATGTTGTGTTTCAACTTTGTTCTTGAAGTTTATTTGAAAATGGTGTTCAATTGACTCATCCTTGGGCTTTGATTTCTCAAATTGATCGTTGAAACATGTTATATTATGGGTTTAAAGTGTTTTTCCAGAAAATTAGCCCAAAAGGATCGAATTTGATGCATTGAAA